GTCTTTTCATTGACATGGAACTTTAATTTTTTCTACATAAAACTATACCCTGTTTTAAGCAGACCTCAATTATTAAAATTAATATTTTAAGTATATACAAATTGCTTAGAAATACAAATTTTATTAAAAAGTATACTCTAACAAATCAGAAATAAAGAACTAATGGGTTTGAAAAAGAACGCGATCAAATGTTAATATCTATCATGTGCTCCAAGTTTATAAACTTAACATCAATGAACACTAACATTAGTATATCAACTAAATAGAATAATTTCCAAGCATTAAAAATCAATATTATAGGCCAGGCAATGTTATTACAGGCATCGTTGCTCACACCTGTAATCCTAGCACTTTGGGAGGCTGAGGTAGGAGGATCACTTGAGGCCAGGAGTTCGAGAACAGCCTGGGCAACATAGCAAGACCCAGTCTCTGCAAAAACAAAACAAAACAAAAAACAGAAAAATTAGCCAAGCATAGTGTTGCACACCTATAATCCTCAGCTATTCAGGAGGCTGAGGCTGGAGGATTGCTTGAGCCCAGGAGTTTGAGGTTTCAGTGAGCTATGATGCTACCACTACACTGTAGCCCAGGCAACTGAATAAGACCCTGTCTTAAAAAAAAAAAAAAAAAATCAATTATTATGTACCTAAGGTTGTTAAATTCATAGAGACAGAAAATAGAATCGTAGTTGCTGGGGGAAATGGGGAGTGGTTGTTTAATAGATAAAGAGATTGTTTTGCAAGATGAAAAGAGGTCTAGAGATTGATTGTACAACAGTGTGAATGTACCTAATACTATTGAACTGTGCACTTAAAAATGGTTAAGATGGTAAATTTTGTTGTGTATATTTTACCACAATTAAAAATTTTCAACAGGTTTTAAAGTCAATGTTATATAATGCAGAAAATTTGGGTTTATGTGTACATTGTTATTTAAATTAACATGTAAGAGTGTGTGTGTGTGTGTGTGTGTGTGTGTGTGTGTGTGTAAAGACAGTGAGTAAGAGCTCAGACTCTAGAGCCAGACTAAGAAGTCTGAATCTAGCTCTGCCACTTACTTAAGTATCAGTTTGGACAACTTAACTTCACTTTTCTGTGGCTGAGTTTCCTCATCTATAAAATAGGGGTAATAATTGTGCCTATCTCATAGAGTCATTGTGAGGATTAAATAAGTAAATATATGTGAAAGCATTTTTAGAGTATGTGGTATCAACTAGATGTCAGCAGCTATTGTTATT